TATATATATACATATATATATCGATCTATATATATATATAATAACATACATATACATTTAGTTAATCCATTGTATATTTATGTATTAATCCATACATACATACTAATTCTGAGTTATGTATCATATCAGTTCATCAGTAAATGTGGTTACAGAATTTCTTTATTTTTGTCCAGTAACTGCAACAAAGATTATTATTTTATTGTTGTATGTCATTCTTTAGGTATTTATTATTAATATGTTTTATTAAGCTGTAAATATACCTGTTATTGTAGATATTAAAAAAATGCTTTAAAAGTTAATAAAATCTTATGTGATTGTTGCATTCTTTATAAACCAAAAGAAAATTTGTTCTTGACTATCAGATCAACGGAGAGTTGTGACTGTGTTCTCTATAAGTTCCATCAGTGGTACGGAAAATATCAAACACACTAAATAACCTAAAGCAAAAGTGATCTTACTAATATTTACCTGTTGTTCTTTGATTCTCTGAAGTTTTGGAAAAACAGCATGAACACATACACATATCAAAATGTGTGACTCAGTTAGGAATAGTGGGTTATTTTATGGTAGCAGTACAATGTTGATAATACAGCCCAAAAAAAAAACAAATCTGCTTTATAGGGCGACTGTGACTGAGTGGTTAGAGCAGTCATCTTCTAATGCAAGAGTTAGGGGTGAAATTCCACCAGCAGTCACATGTTGAAGTGTCCCTGGGCAAGACACTGAACCCTTCATTGCCTCCAATGTGTGTCCCATCAGTGTATGAATGTGATAAAGCACTGATTGTTCTTTGTATCGATATAGTAGAGTGCTGTATGAATGGGTACATGAGGGCACAGATTGTGTTGTAATGCGCTTTGAGTATCTTGATTAGAAAGGTGCTATATAAGTACAGTCCACTTAAGAGTAACCTTTAAGCACATTGTTGTCTTGAGATTGAGAAAAATATTATAAAGCACTATTTCCCTTAAATCAAAAGTGCTGATTGTGATCATTTGTGTTATCCCATCACAAGGAACAGGTGGAAGAGAACCTGGAGAGGTGGAGGTATGCACTTGAAAGAAGAGGAATGAAATTCAGCCGTAGTAAGACAGAGGAGGCAGATGGAACAGTGAGGCTACAAGGAACAGAGGTCACAAAGGTGCAGGACTTCAAGTACTTGGGGTCCACTGTCCAGGAAAATGGGGAGTGTGGTAAAGAGGTGAAAAAGAGAGTCAGGATGGAGTCGATGGAGAAAATTTCAGGAGTGATTTGTGACAAAGAAGGTGTCAGCAAAGGTCAAAGTAAAAGTTTACAAGACAGTAGTGAGATCATCTATGTTGTATGGTCTGGAGGCAGTGGCATTGACAAAAAGACAGGAGAAAGAACTGGAAGTGTCAGAAATGAAGATGAGGTTCTCCTGGATAAGATTAGAAATGAGATCATCAGAGGTACAGCACAGGTTGAACAACTGGAAAATAAAGTTAGAGAGACCAGACTGAGATGGTTTGGACATGTCCAGAGGAGGGACCGTGGGTATATTGATAGAAGGATGTTGGAAATGCAGCTGCCAGGAAAAAGACAAAGAGGAGATATATGGATGCAGTTAAAGAGGACATGGAGGTAGTTGGAGTGAGGACAGAAGATGCAGAGGACAGAGTGAGATGGAGGAGGATGACTCGCTGTGGGGACCCATGAAGAGGAAACAGTGGAACTGAAAATAAAAATAAATTTGTTTGTATTTTACAGGATTAATTCAAAATGTTGTTAAATAAGTGTTAGTTAAGTGTTATCTGATTTGTTCTTCTGTCTGATAATGTGACTTGGAACGACCTTGTCTGTGTGTTGAAGCACTGGAACGTGTCAAATATGCAAAACAGTTCTGCTAAAGGACCAGGTGACCAGTTAAACAGTGAACAAATTACTTTGTATGCATTTACACATTGGAAACATTTAGCAAAAAAACAGAGCAGCATAAGGTTAAACAAATACAATTTGGCTGGGGGGGTATTTTTTTTCAAAAGTACTTCTGGATATTTGCAATTTCACTTAGTCAGGACACACGCCTCGGAATCGGTTAATGATGCTTGTCATGAGTTTTAAAAGTTAATCGTCCAGTTCGGTGCCAGAAAACAGATACTGATCTCAATTACACCTTTCCGTGAAACGGTATACATCAATTATTAACACTGATAGTGAGAAAAATTAGAAAAGGTACTGCAATACATGGAACACACTTAGCTCAACACATTTCTTTATAGTCTATAATGGAAAATGAACTTGAAGCATATCTGACAACATTAAAATATAACTAACTGCATCAGTCATATAATATTGAATGTGCTGTATGTAATTCAGTGGATACTATTTATCAGACTTCCAACATGTATGCATTCCAGCATGTAGGAGTGTTCTGTTGATGAAACCCAGTGAATCCAATTAGTTAGTTAGACTACAAGCATCTTAAATACATAAAAACCTGGATGACCCTTAATTTTCTGTTTTTGAATACAGACAAGACTGAGGTTTTAGTTTTTGGACCTGAACATCTTAGGAATACATTTTTAGTTGTTTACATTCTCTGGATGGCATTAATTTGGCCTACAGTTCTAAAGTTGAAAACCTTGGTGGTATATTTGTTCGGGATATGTCTTTTAACCCCCATAGCAAAAATGTTACCAAAACTGTCTTCTTCCACCTGCGTAATATCACTGAGATTAGCAACATCTTGTCCAAAAATGATGCAGAAAACTGGTTAATGTATTTGTCATGTCTAGACTGGACTCTTGCAATTGTTTATTATCTGGGTGTTCAAAAACTTCTTTAAAGTCTTCAGCTGATCCAAAATGCTGCTGCCAGAGTCTTAACTGGAGTTAATAGGAGAGATCATATTTCTCCAGTTCTATTT